CTAACTGGAATATAACACTGAAATGACGAATGAAAAATATTACATTTTTACATAAAGGAGTGAATCTCCTGATGAGTAAGGTCCACCTATTTGAAGAGAAACTCTGACTAGGCTTTTATCTAGACTACACACAACTAAGTGTATGACAGCTCATCTTACCTACTTCTCATATACTTCTTAAGCCTGCAAAGCAAAATTAGAAGGCACATTGTGCATAAGATATAATTGAAAATGATAAAATAATAAAACTATGCAACTTAGTGGTAAAATCTGCTAATGATTATTAATAGTTAGAAAATACTTGTACATTCCTAGTCCAAATTATACTAAAATAGTCAGGAAAAGTATCCATTAAAAGAATAACAATAAACCAACTGGTGAAAGATTTTGAGTCAAGCTAAAGCAAGGAAAGTTTTTACTCTATTTTGTTAATGCTAGCTTTTGATTAGACTAATAAAATAATACTAGAGGACTTATACAAACTCAACATCAATAACAATTAATTTGGAAAAGGAATCAAAACAATTACCCTTTCTTAATAAAGCTCTAAAATGGGAAGTAACATGCATGAAACTCCAAAGAGTCGAATTAAGTTTGACTACACATAAAATGGTCTGTATACTGGAAAACATCTTTAGCTTACTACTTTGCCAGCCTGCCTGTTTGCTTCATTCCTATTACCAGTCTCAAAACCTCGGTGCTCAGTCATCCTTCAACTGCCATGAGACCACTAGCAACACTGAAATTACGAGGTCAAATTCTAGTAGCTCACTATCAACTAAACGCCCAGCAGTGACCATATACACACTTGGTATGCGACTCCCTTTCCATTTTACTCCAGGGAACTAGTATTCTTCAAATTACTAACTCCCTACCTAGTCTTTGTTTAGCAAAGCTCTATGTGCCTACTCTAAAAACCTCACAAGTCATTTCCTCCTGTCCCTCTATAAACCCATTTTTTGTATGAATTATTTCAAAGTGCATTGACAGTTTTAAATATCAAACTGCCAGGAACTACATACAATCTTTGAGCTAGAGCAGAATCAATTGCTAACAGAGATAGGTAGCACCTTTCCAATAACAAGTCTGAAGTGGCACAGAAGGCAATACTATCTAGTGGTTTAGTTGGTCTAAGAGCAAGAACACTTTCATACTCTCTCCTCTAGAAATGCATAAAAAGTCTTAGTCACTTGTTATAACTATATAGCAGTGGAAGCCTTCTGATCTTTTCGTCTTTGGAATAAAGAAGTACAGTACTTCAATTTTAACTAAAGCTTTCTGAGGGAAATGGGCACAGCAACTTATTTCATTCTCCACAGAGTCAATTATATAGCTCCAATTTACCTTGCACCACGAGCAGGCAATACTAGCTCTGTGCTCTCACTCCAGTCCAGCGTCAAGCTTTGAAATCTCAGGAGCTCAAGTCAAAAACTTAATCTAATTTCTTCACTGTGGATACTTTTTTCTCTCACTATAAAGGAAACATTACACAATGACTAGTACATGGCTCAAAACACAGCTCAAAGCTGCCATCTCTAGGTATTACGTTCTACTACTCCTCACACTGAATTATTTTTCTGTTTTTGAAAGAGGCTGAACATTAGAAAGGAAAATATCAAAAGTGTACCCTAACAAGTTAAGAAATTAGTGCAAAAATGCACCATTTCTCTTGAAATGTCTTCAGCTTACACAATCAGCCCCTTTTAGCACATGTAATTTTTGATATTTGAGATAATCACTCATAGAAGCAACATATTAGTTAATTATTTGACATGAGTAGTGCTGGGTTCTTTATTAGTGAATTCTAATTACTACTTAACATGTGCCTTTGACAACAGCAACAGCTTCTTCACTGCATACTTGCTTGTAGTTTTTGTTAACAAGAGTTGCATTTCCTCACCGAGATTCAAAAACATCTCTGAATTAACACAGGTCTATTATATTGAATATTTGTTGGTAAAAGTGTCTCTAAAATGGTTACCCTTTAGTCTGAAATATCTCAAGAAAAGCTTAACACTGTCAAATAAAAAGGTTAAATGATATTTTAAGCCTTTATTTTGAACTGCTAAATGATACATTACTTGAATGTCTCCCAACTAAAAGGTCCACATTCTACAAGAACTGTAATAACCAAAGATACCGGTCAGAAAGATCTGACCTTTTAAAGAACAGATAATACATTAGTAATGAACCAGGAAACTGAAGAGAAGAAATGCAATTTCTGAGTTGATGCTGGGGAATGCACAGAATCTAGTTCATATTATTATTGAAAAACACTTCTACAATATTAACCATGCCACGTACAGATTTAACACCTCTGGAAGAGCAACAGATTCCAGGGGAGGGGGGGAAAGCAAAAAGCAAACCAAAAATCCACCCATACCTGCCACTCTGCTTAACTTCAAAAGGAGCACTAAATAACAGGAAGACCAATCATAAAAGGAAACTAAAAGGTACTATTAGAAGAATAAAATCTTTAATGACAAGATATTTTAAAGTCATTTTCTCAGATCACATGAATGCTTCCTATTTAAAAAACAAAAAAAACCAAACCCAAACACAAAATAACAAAATAACAGAATAAATAAAGCTTAACAGGAGGATGTTAGGAGAAAAAGTATACTTCAAAATAAAGGTTCAAAATTTCCAGCAGATTAAAACACAGAAACATATAAAGGCAATAAGTTGCCTGAAAAATTATATATAACTTCAAATACATTATTTTTCAAATGCATTAGAAATACAGTCAACTAGATAATTTGTTGTGCCAACAAATGGTCTGCAGGAGTATTCTGAGAAGATAAAGCCCATAGCAATAAAATTAGGTTAATTTTCCCGCATGAGTTCTTCATGGTAGGCTTTACAGGTATTTCCACAGCAGAAATTAATAACAGAAGTTTATAGTAAGAAAATGCAAACTGACAAAACAAACAGCAAGTCACTAGGATCAGTTCTGAAGGAATTAAACAATAAAACAGCTGACTCCTGTCTGTAGTGTGTAAAACCCTCTTTAAAAATGTGTCAGTACCAAAAGACTAAAAAGGCAGAAAGGACAGAACTGAGTGAACGCATGGATAAGACAGACTGAGGAAAAGTCTAACAACTCTTGAAAAGGTAAGTTACATCTTGCAAATAATTGGATTTTCCTGCATCAAAGGTCTGGTTGACAGTTACTTGGAATTTCCAAAAGATACTTGCCAACATTCCTCATGACTTAAAGAAACCAAGATGCTCTAGGACAAGCAAGGCAGAATAACTCATTAAATAATTCACTAAAGACAAGTTTGGAGAAAAAAAAATAATAGTAACTTTTTACATGAATAGTGATGTCCCCCTGAGATCTACAATTGGGATTTGATTGTTCAACATACTGGAAAAACTACGTGACACAGGGATGAATGGAAAAATTACAACATTTTTCACAATACTGGTTTACTCAAAATAGCTGAGACAGGGGTCAAAACCAGAAAATTGCGGAAGAATCTCATAACACTGAATGCGCAAAACCATGAGGAATAAAAGACTAAATAAATATTCGTATAGAAAAGTGTGAAGTGATACACACACACAAAAAATTATCAAGTCTGTACATAAAGCAGTGAGGTTTGAATTGACTAGAATGAGATCTTGAGGTTATAAATGATAGTTCTGCCAAAATACCAGTTAAAAACAAACAGCTAGTTTTCAAAAAGCTAAAATACCATTAAGAACTAATAGGAGAAAAATTGGATTTAATTCTACGACATCAGCCTCTGAGGTGCCCTTATACTAAAGACTGTGACTCCCCCTACCTCAGAAGGGATATAACAGCACCAGAAGAGGTAAAGCCGATGACACAATGTTATCTAAGCTAAGGACTATTAAAATCACAAGGAATTTTCAGCATGGAAAAGAAATGATACATGATGTGATGGACTTCCAGAAAATCATGATGAGTGGTACAGAGAAAATAAATGGAAAATCGTACAAATAGGTATTATCAAAATTAAACCAGCTACTACCAGTTGCCAAAAAGTTGGTATTTCTGTACAAAAATACACTGGAGCTCTTAGGCACAAGGTGGTATCAATGCTAAATATTTGGTCCAAAAATTTGGAAAAGTTAAAAAACACAGATTCATAATCTTTCCACAAAAATACTATCATGTCTTAGAAAATCCCAGCTTTGGGCTAGGAGAATATTCTGAGGAAAATTCTATATATTCTTGACTTTTTTTTTCATATATTCTTCCAATGACATTCACTGTTACCCATTATTCAAGACTTGTGACCAGGCTAGATGAACACTCTGGTCTCATTTTTTGTTCTTCCATACTAGAAGTGTCTTATGCAAACAACTAAAAATTTGTGATACAAATTCTGTATTTCTCTGTCACAGTTAACAAGTTCACCATCATTGGTACACAGGTAAACTATGCATTGTATTCACTCTTGGTCCTTTGTATTTTGAAGACATGATGAAGCCCAATTAGCTTTTGAAGCCAAAAACTAATGAATTAACAAAAGGCAATTTTTAATGTTTTTACTGAAGATCAGTTCTGCCTCTATATTCTATCAATATCAATTTCTTTTTTTTTAGTGAAACAAGCCTTAAAAGTGCTTGCAATAAAGTGGCATGTATTCTACGTGATAGTAGTGGAAGCAAAACTGCCACTAGTCTGTATTCATTTGAGCTTACAGTAAAACGATACTATAGAACAGTTTGTATCTTAATACTGCTTTGGTTCTGTAATAAGAGCAATAACACATAAATAAAAATGTATTTCTTACTGTCAAGGCCTGGGGGCTTATGGTCAGCTAATAAGTGCCTTAGAACTATCGTGCAATATTTTTTCAAAAAATTGTGCAATACACCTAAGTATGGAAGAAGACAATACGACACAATGTTTAAAGACAAGAAATTAAATTATCCTCTAAAATCTGTGTTCATGATGAATCATTTAAGGTCACTAACAGAACACACAAAGAAATCCATTAAATAAGATGCTGAACATTCCAAACCTGATATAAAGCAAGAGTGTGTCCATATCTCTGGAGCGGCCCTTTGGATACAGGTACCACATTCCATATACTGCTTTCCAAATTGTAGCTAGAAGAGAAATGGAAAAGTCAACATTTCCTACCTGCAGAGAAATAGAGGAGTTTTAATGTTTAAACTAACTTTTGTTCAGGAGACTTTATCGATGACGGGTTCTCTGATGTGGTAATTTGTTACTGGCAGTAACACAATCCCTTTTAACTGTTACAGCAGCGTACTAACGTGTGACAGCGTACTAAATGTTCATCAAGTGAAACAGAAGCAGCTCTTTCAGTGCCCCATCAACAAGCTCAGAAAATGGGACTGTAATAAAATCACCAGACTTATAGGAAAGCTCCAAAACTAGGCTGCTAAGCAGCCACATGAAAAAACACCCCATTGAACTGCTTATGTCACAGTCTTCTGCATTACTTTGAGGATTTAGCTATGTGGTTGATTTTAATTTCCCTTAAATTCTAATTAACAATTAACCCATTAACACACAATAAGATGGAAGAGAGGTAGGAAAAAAAAAACCAAAACAACGGAGGTTGAAAAGGAAAAACACCAAGGATGGTGTGATTTTTTTTGGCGATTGCAAATGTGTGGAAGAAAACAAGAGTTAGACAAAAAAAAACAGGAGAAATTAACATATTAGTGAACATATCCTAACACACTTGCCACTCTAAATATATACAAGTTAGCATCCAAATCTGCTAGGTAATATTTACAGCTGCTTCAACTTTATTTTCAATAGATAGCACACATACATGGAATCTGTCATCTATGTAAAGAAGCAAAATAGAAGTGTCATTTAATTATAATATTAAGTTCAATAATGCAGATAGAATCCCAGATGTACTGTGCGAAAAATACCAGCACATGGATTTCTTTCAATGTTTTATCACCATCGTTTTATATTTTGCAGCAAAGTACAGGAACACTTTTCATAAAACTGAAGCGATTATGTATTACTATCACATATCGGTTGATGTTACCCATATTTTCACTTTTTTTAAATCATGGAAGAATAAAACCATTAATAAAGACTTTAAAGACCACAGAAACTTTCCTGTTATATTGCATGATAGAGGCTGCCTCCCAGGCAAGATCTGTTTTCCCTAAGCCACATCAGAAAGGATATGACAAAGGAGAAACCACTTACTTCAACACCATTTGGAATGAACTGTAGTTAAAAGTGTATCCACCAATCACCCACATAAATTTCCCGTGTAGGACTGCCTTATGGGAAGCCCGTCCCACAGAAGGGCTGAACGGCTTCACGTTTGGTAGAATCCAGTAAGACTCCGTGGAAGGGACGTTCAAAGAACAATCTGGACCTGTTTTGTAAACAAATGCGCAATTTGTACAATCTGTTAGACAAGAATGTTAAAGCCAATAAAGCATAAACTGGGGAGGCTTAATTACAGATGTCAGGATTGCTCATTCTGATGAAATATGGCACACACTTTTATGTTTAACAGATGCTCAGTGCAAGAAAAAAAACACAACTAAGGATGTCAGTCAAATTGAAAGCTCAAATAATAATGATCCATTTCTGCATTCTTGTCAGAAAACACACTATAAGAATCACAAACTGGAGGAAATGCATAATGCATCATATTTTAGATACTGTACGGATCTAAAATATGCAGCACAATATACACTAAGGTTACCTCTAGAGAAAAACTATACTGAAATCAACTAATCAGAGTAAACTTACATCAAAGCAATTACCATTACAGTGCATTAAGTCACAGTATAGATTATACTATACCAAGTCTCAGGAACAAAAATGTGCCCTTTGCCAACACCATTATGCACTGTTTTTCAAGAATAAAATACACTGTATTTTTTATTAAAAAAATAGCTGAATATTCAAATTCCATAAAACTTTATAGATAATTTTTAAAAAGCATCAAACCCCTAGATTTTGCTAAAAGACAGCAAAATGTATATTTTTTCAGTTACAAGACTACTAAAAACATGAACAGCACCAGCATTTATTTTTCATTTGCTCTGTAATAACCAAAAAGTTGTCTCTTCATCATTAGTTTATGCTCTAGATGTTGGAAGAAATTTAAAATCTCGTTATTTAAAACCTGAATATATTCACATCTTTCCTTAAAAAAAAGAAGTCAGCATATGCACTATTTGTTTATTGTCAGTGACTGTACATCATTATTTATTTGTACGACTTCTAGATGGGAAACACTGAATTTTTTGGACACCCGAGTGTTCCGCTTTAAGCATGGAATTGAAATTCTTGTCATCAGTGATGCTGTACAGATGTTATACAACAGCAAAACTAATTCTGTAATTTGATGCTGATACTATAAACAATGTTATGCTCCTCCCAGCCTGCCCAACTGGGATAAAGCCTTCCCTCAAGCTACTGGACTTTACTAAAAACTGAAGCTGTTGAAGTCAGACTGGGTATAACCTTCTTTGGAAACTCAGTGGCAACATGCTAAAAAAAGAGACAAAACAAAACCTCAAACCACCACCAAAAAGCAAACACATCAGAAAAATCCAAACCTAGTCCGTATCCCAAATATCACATGTGAGATCAACTTTTGCTACACTTCAGTTTCTACCAGATAAATCATCAGAAACTATAAGAATGGACAAAATTAGTCAATAGATAGATAATTACAATCTACTTTTAAAAATCAGTATAGATTTCATAAAAAGAAGGCCTGCCTCCCACACCTATTAAAGTTCTTAGAAGAAATCAAGATATGGTGATTCAGTTGATACACTGACACAGATTTTAACAAGGCTTTTAGCGCAATTCCTCACCAAAGCCTTTTAAGGAAACCTAACTTTGGGACCAAGAGAATGAAAACCTTTGCATGGCTAAATAACTGACTGTAAGATATAGTAAGAAAATAGTAGACAGGAGGAAAAGGCCACTTCTTAAAGGGAGGGAGGTCACCTGCGGAGTCTCACACAAGGTCTCAGACCCAAGGCATTACAGAATCACAGAAGGGACCTCTAAAGATCATCAGGTACAACCTCCAGCTAAAGCAGGATCTCCTGGAGCACATCACACAGGAAGGCATCCAGAAGGGTTTTGGAGATCTCCAGAGACGATGACTCCCCAACCTCTCTGGCCAGCTGTCACGTCCCATATTTTCAGGACGATGACTCAAATTCACCGATTCCCAGGCCAGGACTAAGATGAATCCCTCTCACCATTTTTTATTTACCAACAACAAAGAACTAACATCGACCTGTTCCAGCTGCCCACTTAACACTATTAACATGCCCCACAATAAAGAATCATTAGCAGAAACAAAAGAACCAGCCTTGCCTTAGATAATCACCTGTTCATTGGAACTAGAAAGAAAGAGAATGGAAAACGCTGGGAAAAGCAAGCTCACCACCCCTGGACGCGCGGTGACCAGGGCACACGCAGCATCTTCTTGTGGTGGGCGAGAGCACCAGCATACTCCTTGTGCTGTCATTGGGCATTGCTGAAAAAAGTCTGGCTCCATCCTCCTTGTTGCCCACCCTTTAGATATTTACATATATTGATAAGGTCTCTCAGTCTTCTCCAGGCTAAACAGTCACAGCTCTCTCAACCTTTCTTCCTTTCAACCTCCCCAACCTGTGTCAAGCACGTATTCAGCAAACATTCAGGATCCTTAAAGAACATGAGCAGTGAAGAGAGTTTGCTGATAAATGCAGTTACAAGAGGGCAGAAAGAATAAGATCAGCCTTTGAAGAAGCACAGAACAAGTTCTTGTCTGACCATGTGACTGAGCAATAAAATCAGGCATGAAATTCAATATAGACAAATTTAAAACTAAGTATGCTATGTTTTAGATTGACTAAAAAAAAAGAAGATGGTGTCTTAACTAACCACTACTACTTAGGAGCAAAGTCTCATCTTAACTCATGAAAACATCGGGTCACACTCAGGAATAATAATAAAAAACTCACAACACTGTATAAATCAGTGGTTTGCCTACACTTGGAAAACTTGCCCTCCTCAAAAAGAAGATCATGCTGCTGACCATTTACAGGACAATAATAATGACGTTTAAAGAATTAAATGGCTTCTGAAATTGGGACTAGTGAGCTGGCTAAGACTTTTCCACCTGGAAAAAAAAAAGAAAATCTGGAAGTGAATGATAAAGATTGATGAAATAAGCCACTCAGAGAGGGGGGATATGAAGAGTCTACAGTCTCTCTGAATGTAAGAGCCGAGATTTATCAAATGCATCATGAAGAAGCAATGTTCAAAACAAACAAGATGAGGTAGTTTTTCATGCAAAGATCTCCTTGGCAAAGTCACTTTCCTGGCAAAGGATGCTCTGGTATACACTGAGTCAAGGAGAGACTGGACAAGTGTTTAGAAGAGAGCTGCTGAATTTTACTAAATAGGTAATTTACACCAAATTAGTAATTCTCAAACATATTATGCAGCAGGGGGGCAAGATTATGTTTTTCCAATGTGTGTCATCATTTTGGTGGCAACTGGTTACAATTATTTATCATACATAACAAAAAGGCATCTAATCAGTACCTAACTAGTTGTCAACTTTTCCTAGTACTCTGTAGAAGAATGATGTCCACTTGTATCCAAATTACCTTCCATTCATTAAATGATCAAGACACTCGATTCCCACTGTTCTAATGAACAGAATCTTTTCTACCCTGAAAAGATTAATGGTATTTGAATGAGGGCTAATGAGAGTCTGAACAATTCAGCATATTATTTCTTAAGCATTAGTAATAGATACTGTAAAATAATTGTAACCTCAGCAAGATTCTGATTTGGTAAATCACTGGAGAAAACACTTAATTTGAATCTGAAAGTGCTTAGAAGCAAATTATTAAACATTCTTTGATCGTGGAAGACTTTAGAATTATGGAAACGGTGCTTTCAGTCAGAAGACGAAAACATAGTAAGGTCTTAGTAACAGCAAATAGGCACACGCAGAAATGTAGTGATCAACAGTGTCCCCTAGTGGCAAATATTTAATAGAACACAAAAACTACTTGCATGCCACTTGATTGAAAATTTTGATTTCTGCGCACAGGGAACCACAGGAATTCAAATAACACATCCAAAATATATTCAGATGACACGGTACTAAAACGAGGACAAGGAAAAACTTTGCATTAAAAAAAAAAAATCTTTAAAATACCGTTAACCCGTGATTGAAAGAATGTCACAGATAACTTTCAGCCTCGGTGCTTCCTTGCTGGTCCACACTGAATCACAGAAAGGCGAGATACAGAGGAAAAACACCGCGTACCCAGGTCTTGTTCTGACACAGAGGAAGGACACGTTCTAAGAAGACACAACTGAACTCACAAGCTTGAAAGCAGCTGGCTTTCTTCACAGAACAAACCAATACCCTGTGCGTGGCATACACTTGCATTAAAGTGACAGCAGTTGACATTGCCACCAGAAGAGGCACCCCTGGCCTGCCCTCACTGCATATTCTTCAGCTGTCATCCCTATTGGCACCAGTTTCCACACGGCTGCACCACGAACCAGATGAGGGAATGCATTCAGGTTAAAACTTGCTTTTATTTTTAGCCAGGCTAGTTTTTAAGCTGGGTATGTTCCCTTGCGTGCCTCCCCTTGCTCACATACATGTGCTTGTGCCAGCACAAGTAAGACTGCATGGCAGGACTGCTTCTTCAGTGCAAAGGTAAAACTGGCATGCAGTTATCACAGCATGTATCGAACGGTACAAAAAAATTGAATATGTAGTTGAAAAAAATCAAAGGTATAGAATAATAGTGACTTCTGCTGAAACACCATTTAAAGAGAAAATGCTCTTGTGTGGCTATTGCCTTATAAAGGCAAAGTAAATGCAGGACTTACAAATATCGTTTACAGGTTTTCCTACTTAAATACATATACCATGAAACAGCACCATTATTTCAGTATAAATACATTGTCTCTTCAGAGATACCATGTTCACTAAATACATGCCTTTTGTGCAGAAAGCACTACAGCTGCAGAACAAAGATAAGAAATATATTTTAGTATTTTCCAGGCAAATGTGAAATTTTTTTCATTTATTTAAAATTGTACTTCTTTCTTATCTTCCTATTGTGTCACTCAATACACTGGAGGGGACAAAAAGCTTTAAAAAAACAGCAAACATCTTTAGAAACCTGAATTTGAAGCCAATTACATTATCCTCAAAGGTAGGAAAAAAATCTGTGCGTTTAAAAAAGCGATTTATCCACACAACACAAAGAGAATCTAATTGCTATTTATTGAGGAGTTTCATGAACTGCCAAAGTAACAATCTGTTCCAGTAGTTCAAGTCATAAGATCAATTTCCACCTAATGAGATAACATCATCTG